GCTCATTCCTTGCAGCCAGCATCAGCCTCCCACCCTGGGAGGAAGGCCTCCCCCTTCCTCTCCACAGTGTTGTGGAGGACACAACATGCCGTGACCACCTCAGAGATGCTGTGCTCCCCCATGTCCAGGTGGGTCAGTAGGCACCTGAAACGTGCCTTGAGGCAGCCGAAGGTGCACTCCACCTGGGTCTGGGCCTGGTTCAGGAGGGCATTAAATTGATCCCTGCTGGGATCCAGGTGGCCGGGATAGGGTTTCATAAGCCATAGCATGAATGGGAAGACTGCATCCCCCATGATGCACAGTAGCATCTGCACGTCCCCAATGGCAAGTTCACAGTGGAGGAAAAATGTGCCTGCCTCCAGCTTGCCCTAAAGGCTCGAGTTTCTAAAGACATGCCCGACCACCCAACAAAAATATCTGTGACGTGTCCATGGTGGTTGACCGGGGCCCGCAGTGCCAACGAGAAGTAGCCCTTTCTATTAATACACTGGGCTGCTCAATGTTCTGGTGATCGGATCAGGACGTGGGTCCCATCTATGGCTCCAGTGCAGTTTGGGAACCCCAGGGCAGCAAATCCGGCCACGATTGGGTCCAGGTCTCCCAGGCAGATGACCCTCCACAGCAGGATGGAGTTGATGGCCCTCACCACCTGCAGAAGGAAACAAACAAACACACAAAACAGAGAATGAGAGACGGAGCCTGAGCCCTTGGGAGGTGCCCGCACCCCTCCTAGCTCCTCCTCTCCCCCAAACACCCCATGAGCCACCCTCTATGAGGCCACCCCCCCAGCAGCAGGGCTGTGTGAGGGTGGGATGGCACAACCCCCCGGGGACGGGGCTTCCCCCACCCCCACTCCACCCCCCACAGCCCTCAATCCCCCTCTCCTTAGGGTCCCCCTTTTCCAGGACTCCCCTCCCATCCACCCCTGTGAAGGGACTTCAGCCCAAGAGTACCATGAGGAGGGCCCCAACGGTGAACGTCCTCATACCGAACTGGCTGCCCACCGACCAGTAGCTGTGAGGGGTGGGGAGTTTCCAGAAGGCGATTGTGACCCACTTCTTCAGGGGGTGGCAGGCACATAGCATGTCTCTGGAGATCAGGGGTGAGCCTGGCACACAGTTCCAAAAAGGTGGCCTTCCACATGCGGAAGTTTTGGAGCCACTGCTGGTCATCCCACCGCGCCATCGTCAGCCAGTCCTACCAGTTGGAACTTGTGTGCAGCCTCTCCACAGTGGGTTGCAGTTGCCAGAGTGGAGCTCCCACACCCAAGGAGAGGGTCCCCTGAATGAGCTCTGGGTTGGTCAGATCCAGGAAGGCAGCTGGCACAAAGTGCTGCAGAAACTGCAGCAAGGCCATGAGGGGCCATTGCATGCTGGGTGCATGGCTCAAAGGAAAAGGCTGAGGTGTCCAAAAAAATCAGGGCATCCAGAGCAGGCACCTCAAGAGCTTTGCTGTTCCTCGAAGAGGTGGCAAGCACGCAGCAGAAGCAGAGAAACGGCTGTCCAGGAGGATCCCTTTAAGTACATGTCTCTGCTAGGCTCCAGCACCAGCACTTGGAAGCAACTGGTAACCTAAAGCCCTGCCTGCACTGGTTCCAGGTGGCCTTTCATGCAAGAAAGCATCCAATAGGTCTGGACACTCCCTTTCAAAAAAGCAGATTTCTCATTCAACGTGCTTTTGTGTGTGGACGCTCTTTTGGAAGAAGTTTTTTCAGAAGAAGCCTGCAGTCTAAATGTAGCCTAGCAGACAATGCCTGCCATTTAGTATACGGGAATCTCACTAATCTGAAGCACCATTTAAGTTCCAGTCGCACAGGTTAGATAAATGGAGAGATCAAACGTGCATTGTATCTGAAACATCTGACATCCCTTAGGGTATGGCTACACTGCCACCCTAGTTCAAACTAAGGTGGCTAATGTAGTCATTTGAACTTGCAAATGAAGCCCGGGATTTAAATATCCCAGGCTTCATTTGCATGTTCCTGGGCGCCGCCATTTTTAAATGCTTAGTAGCTCGAACCTCCTGCCCGCGGCTACACGCGGCACAGGCTAGGTAGTTCGAATTAAAGCTCCTAATTCGAACTACTGTTACTCCTCATTGCAGGAGGAGTAACGGTAGTTCGAATTAAGAGTGTTAATTTGAACTACCTAGCCCGTGTCACATGTAGCTATGGGCAGATAGTTCGAGCTACCGGGCATTTAAAAATGGTGGTGCCCGGGAACATGCAAATGAAGCCCAGGATATTTAAATCCCGGGCTTCATTTGTAAGTTCGAATGACTATATTAGCCACCCTAGTTCGAACTAGGGTGTAGCCATTCCCTTATAGATTAGACCCAAGCTTTCCATTTACCTGAGGGTATGTCTACACTTGCTCCCTATTTCAAACTAGGGATGCAAATATAGCCAATCAAAATTGCTAATGAAGCAAGGATTTAAATTAGCATAATCTTGCCCGTGAGCTATTCTGCTCACCAGCTGATTCAAACCAGGAAGTGCACTCCAGGCCACGTTAGTTCGAATCAAACCCCGTGGTTTGAACTAACGTTACTCCTCAAAAAATGAGGAGTAACATTAGTTCGAACCAAGGGGTTTGACTTGAACTAATGTGGCCTGAAATGCACTTCCTGGTTTGATTCAGCTGGTGAGCGGAATAGCATGTGTGCGAGATTATGTTAATGAAGCGTGGGATATATAAATCCCTGCTCTATTAGCAATTTCGGTCGGTTACATTTGCATCCCTAGTTCAAACCCTTAGTGCCTTTGAATAGCATATCAGGGTTTATAGTTGCCTTTCCCTTGCCAGTTTGATTTTGAGCCTATGTACTGTGATGCTAGATTGGCAGGTATGTATCAGCATGCTGGGAAAGCTCTTGCAGGCCATTATAATGCTCCCATTTTGGTGTCTAAGCCTCTCCTTCTTGCTTTATTTATGAATCTTTTTGGGATGGCTCTCAGTGACGAGAGCCTTTCTATTCCTGTCATTTCCTCGATCAGCCACTTAGGGTAAAATTGCCCATAGAAGTGAACCTAAATTACAAGTGATAAAACTAGAGCCTATTCTATCTGCGGATGACCCTTTCTGTTCTATACTGAGCTAAAGCATATATTCTTTGTGACAAGAGCAATGAAGCCGTTGCAAGAATTTATCTGCGGCTAAGTTACCTTAAATTGAAAATCCTTGTTTTTGCAGGCTTTGGAGTGGTCCTTCATTAATTCATTCTGCACTTCAGATCTGCACTTAAAAGTTAGGTTGACATAGCTGCAGTGCTCAGGGATGTGAAAAATTCACACCCATCAACAGCATAGCTACACCCACGTAGCCCCTGGTATAGATGTAGCTGGGCAAGGGAAGAATGAGTCCATTGACCTAGCGACTGCCACTTGGTGAGATGGATTAGCTATACCAACAGAAACCCTTCCTTTGCTGTAGGAAGCGTTTACACCAGCAGTTATTAGCCCACAGGTCGACTGTGGCCTAGTTAGCATACAGCTGCATCCTGAGTGCGGGGATCCACAAGGTTCCCAGATGACCAGCATGGAAGGGTCTGGGCTGCCCTGGTGCCCAGAACAGCGGGGTCAGCGCTGCTGGTCCTGCCCATGTGGTGGGAGTGCAGGGTCAGGGCTGCTGACCGTCCTCACGTCGTCAAGGGCTGTGGGTCAGCCACCTGGCCTTGCAAGTTCTGGGGTCTGAGGCAGCTGTGCAATGAGGGTCCAAGTCTGGGTCAGCCCCATGACAAAGGTCCAGGGTGGGCTGCTGACCAGCCCCACGGTGGAGGCCCAGGGTCCAGTGTTGGGTTCCAAACTGCCTCTGCCCAGCCTCTCCCCAGCCCCTGCAGCCCAGGTAACACTTTGCCACCCACAGGATGTAATAAGCTGAGAACCACTGGTCTGCACTACGGCATTACAGTGGCATAGCTACATGGCTGGGACAGGCATGGCCTAAGCGTTGCTCAGTCCCAGCCAGTGCTTCAGCAGGGTACCTGGCCCACTTGCCTCTTCGATTGGTTTCTATCAGCAGGCCAGGCCATGTTTGGGATTCTCACACCAAGGATCCTTCTCCCTACAAGCTCCAGGCACAAATGCTTGGGTAGAAGAGACAGCAGAGCCCCCAGAGTACCAGCCATACCAAAAGAGAAAGATGGCCTACGGAGGCCACTGATCAGACAAGGGAGTGTGCTTTGCCTCCGCTTATGGCTGATATTAAGAGAACTGGTCAGAACACTGTCAGCACCAGTTCTCCACCAGACTATGCTGTTTTGACAAACTGATTTTTTTTTTCAAAATCGTTGATTTCGATGACATTTCTTTTAGAAAAAAAAGGTTGGTTTTTTTAATGTTGAAATGTCTTGGTTTTACATTTTCAGAACAAAAAGTTTTGATTTTTCATTTTGAATGGCTTTTTCTTTCAAAGCATATGTCATTCTGTAGTTTTTTAAAAATTAAAAAGATACAAGATTAAATACAATGTTTTGATTGACCCCAAATAAACAAACATTGGAAATTTCATTTAAAGAAAAACGTCTTGGGCTTTCTGTCCCAATTTGGGATGAATTCCTCCCTCCCACCCTCCTCCCCCCCCACCCCGCTCCGAAAATTGAACCAGAAATGCAAATCCTAGGCTTCTGCTTCCCGGATGACATCCTAAAAGGAAGTGCAGCCCATGCAAGCACTTGGGAAGATGGAAAAGTGGGAATCATTGGGGAGGGGCCCTTGATTAAAGAGGAGTTCAAGACATCTGGAAAGGAGCCAACCAGAAAAGAAAATCCTAGGCTTCTGCTTCCCGGATGACATCCTAAAAGGAAGTGCAGCCCATGCAAGCACTTGGGAAGATGGAAAAGTGGGAATCATTGGGGAGGGGCCCTTGATTAAAGAGGAGTTCAAGACATCTGGAAAGGAGCCAGTTGATGGCACCTTTAAATCACATGGTAGGGAAAAGGGTGTACGGCTGCTGAAAAGGCTGATATTGTATGGCTGATCAACCCCTCCTGTTTCTCTTCAGTAATTTAGGGGTGCCTCCAGGACGGGGCAATTGCCCCTTGACTGTCCCTTTGCCCTTTGACCTCATTTACACTGATTACCATGGCCTCCAGCAAATGAAACAACACATGGGGCTCTCCTTTAAGAAATACAGGTAAGGAAAAATCACTCTCTTCCTCTTTGCTTCTATTTTTGTTTGTTAACCTTAGGTAACACTAATGACAATGAGGGGCAAATAGCGAATAGCTCTGGCTAGAGGGAGGCTCAACCCTGGCTTGCAGCTCCCCCTGCTATGGTAGTCATGGGGGCCCCCACCCACATCTTTGCCAATGCACCTCCCTGTGCTGCTCCAGTCTGGTTTAATTCTGCCAATGTGGCTCCGTCCTGATTTGCAGCATCCCATGGGTGTGTCCACACTACGGAATCAAGTGGAATTAAGCTATGCAACTTCAGCTACTTTAATTGCATAGCTGAAGTCGAAGTATCTTAACTCAAATGTTGATGCTGTCCACACTGCAGGAAGTTGAAGGAGAACACCCTCCCTTCAACTACCCTGACCCCTCATGGAAGCATTGACTGGAGTGCCCCTCTCAGTTCGAATGAGCTCGCTTCATTAGAACAACTAATTTGAACCCTGAAAGATCCACAGCGTCAGTTTCGATCGTCTCTGTAGTGTAGCCATACCCCATGCTATTCTGGTCCTACTCGCTCCTGGTCCTTTCAGCTAATGAGCGGTCCTGGGCCGAAACTGATAATAGCATTACATAGGGCGCAGACTATGACTGGAGTGAGACACGGTTTTAAACAAATCCCACACCATGCAAGATCTGAACCCAAATTCCCAGAGGGGAAATGCAGGCAGCACTGAGCCACTGTCTGATATCACTTCCTTCTTTTGCTCTTTGTTCTGTCCTCTTTCACAGCAAGACCAACCAAAACTTTGCTGCCTTTCCTTTCCCATACCAGTGATGAGCCCCTTTAAATCTCCAGCAAATTCTGAGAAGTTCAGCCTTTTGTTTCCAGCCTTATGTGCACAGCTCTGACAGCTGGTAAATTGCCCAGAGACCTGCCTCCACACTGCTTCCCACTGGCTGTCAGAACATGCCCGGGGAAGAAGGGAGCACAGCCACTCTCTCAAGTTCAGACCTTATTCTAAAGCTGTGGAATGGGGAGGCATACCCCTTGGGAAGGGTTGTGTGTGTGTGAATAGTACATTTGTACGCTGTAGGTGGGCTCTGCCAACACCACACCAGGACAAAGAGATCTTTCTGCATTTGCAATAAAGCTCCCCCCTTCCTCCAAGCTCATTTCCTCCCTTCCTCTTTGCCATTAAGAGAGACATATGTCACCATCCTGTGGTACATCAGCAGCCTGCAAAATATGTGATTTAATTTAGCAATGATAGTTCTTCTATTTATTACATTTTTGTCCATCCCTTCCACTATCCTACGCAATTTTATTAGCAGGGGAAATGACAGGTGGTGTTATTGTTTTTATTATGAATGCATTTGCTTTGTGTGTGCCACTTGCTTTTGCCTCTCTCTTTTCACATTCTCTTTTCTTTCTTCCTCTTGCCGGGGTAATGCCTGCCTGAGCATGCCCGAAATATTCAGGAAAGCATTAAAATGTCTTCTGGAGACAGATAGCACTTTCCCAAACATCAGGCGGGTGAAAAACCTGAAATGGGAAACTGCTTCACGCAATGGGGAGCAGCGAATCTTTATTTCAGGAGAGGTCATTTTGGATATTTCTTTCTCCTTCAGCTAAATATTGGACCAGGGCTTTGCTTCCAGTTTCCACTTTTGAGTTAATGCTGATGCCTAATGCCAGTTCTCTGTGGGCATAATGGTAATGCTATGCATTACTAATGGTAGGCCCTGGGTTTGAGTCCTGGATCCACTGAGGCCCAGGAAACACTGGGCCAGGATAGACTGACCATCCATCTGATCTGCTGCCCTTTTTAGACAGTAGCTAATGCCAGAGATTTCTAAGCATGTTGGGTTGGATTTCTAAGCAGCCGCTTTTGTGCAAAAACTTGCCAGCTTTCTACACTGGCCGCTTGAATTTGCGCAAGAGCACTGACTTTGTAATGTACAAAACCAGTGCTTCTTGCGCAAATACTTTCACACTCCCACTCAGGAAAAAGCCTTCTTGCACAGAATACTTGTGCAAGAGGGCCAATGTAGACAGGGAAGAACTGTTTTGCGGAAAAAAGCCCTGATGGCTAAAATGGCGATCGGGGCTTTCTTGCGCAAAATCGTGTCTAGACTGGCCACAGATGCTTTTGCGCAAAAGCACTTTTTGCGGAAAAGCATCCGTGCCAATCTAGATGCGCTTTTGCAGAAATACTTTTAACGGAAAACCTTTTCCGTTAAAAGTATTTCCGCAAAATCATGCCAGTCTGGACGCAGCCGTTGTGTTTAGAGCAATAGTTACTGAGTTATACACCCAGGAGATACACTAGTGGACCAGACCCATAATCTGTCTAGTTTGGTATCCAGTCTCTGACACTGGCCAATACCAGATAACACAAGAGGTGTAAAATCCTCAGAATAGACAAACCTTCCCACCCCCAAATGAGGAGTCCTGTGTTACCTTAAAGACTAAGGGTATGTCTATACTACCCCGCTAGTTCGAACTAGCGGGGTAATGTAGGCATACCGCACTTGCAAATGATGCCTGGGATTTGAATTTCCCGGGCTTCATTTGCATAAGCGGGGAGCCGCCATTTTTAAAACCCCGCTGGTTCGAACCCCGTGCAGCGCGGCTACACGGGGCACGAACTAGGTAATTCGAACTAGGCTTCCTACATTACCCCGCTAGTTCGAACTAGGAGGGTAGTGTAGACATACCCTAATAGATTTATTAGGGCGTAAGCTTTCATGGATAAAAACCACTTCATCAGATACATGAAGTTGAACAGGCAGTTGTTCAATACCATCCCATCCCACTCTATTAATGGTTAGTTTATATCCAGAGCACATTGCTACCTGTTACACATTTTTGCCTCAAATGCAAATATTCTTACTATTCACATAAATACTGAATATTTTTTTAAAAGGTTCTTAATCTCTTTGCTGCATTACTATCTGGTGGCAATGAGTTCCACATGTTATCTCTGATGTAAATTTGAAGAACAAACATCTGCTTCAGTGATGACTATCCCAGTAAGAGGGATAACGCCCATTCATTGTTTTTCACAGCACTCTGTCCACATGGAAGTATACTAAAACAGCATCGTTTCAGAGAGGTAGCTGTGTTAGTCTGTAACTGAAAAAAAAAAGTGTTGTTTTTTCAGACAGCAAAGACACTCACTCAATATGGAAAAAGCTTCCGTTTTGGAAAAAACAGTGGCAGCCATGTTTATGCTAATGAAGCATGGGATATTTAAATCCCTGCTTCATTAGCAATTTTGACATGCCTAATCTACATCTCTCTGTTGACAGAAAGGTATAGTCTAGACACAGCCAAAGTGACTGAGCCGTAGAGAAGAAGTGGCACGCTCTGAAGGGGTGTGGTTCTGGGGTGCTTCTGCTGCATGCCAGGTGAGGTGCAATGCCTTCTGGTGCTTGCACTGAGACAGTGCAGATCAGCACTGTGCCTAGCTCAAGGGTGTTGCTCAACGCCACAACAGAGCATAGGTGGTATTGCCAATCTGAGTCTATTGTATGGGACCAGGACTGGAGGAGCAGGGCCTGCTGATCATCACAGGCCTGTGTTGGTGAAGCTGCTTAGAAAAAACTTATTTGGCACCCATTTGTGTCACTTGCACTAATAGTCCCTAAATCTCTCTCAGCTGTCACATTGGCAGCTCAGTCACCTTTCTCCAGGCCTCTCCAGCTTTTAGGCACACGCTTTCCACTCTAATAAAGCCTGTAGCTCTGGGTATTCAAACACACAGCACAGGCTTGAGCCCTCTGTCACCCCATGGGCTGTACATTTGAACACAGGAAGCTACTTGCTGCAAGGATGTGCACACCAGTAACTGGGCACTGATGTGTGGGATTGTCCCTTCATGGGCTGGATTCTAGGATCCAGATCGCTCTAAAAGCAGTCAGCCCACTAAATGAGCATCCACACAAGTCCTCAGCAGCACTAACAGCCTCTCTTGTGGCCTGCTGATGCTAGTGGGTGAACCTATATATTGTGGCTTGTTGCTCTTTGTTTGCAAAATATAACCATTACCCTTTGCTCTCTTGCCTGGGCAGGTGTCGTGTTCGGGTCATTGATACCTTTGGGACAGAGCCAGCCTACAACCTCGAGGAGTATGCCACTCTGCATGGCTACCGGACAAACTGGGGGTACTGGAACCTGAACCCCAAGCAGTTCATGACAATGTTTCGTAAGTGATCCCCTATTTGGAAACTGTTTCTATCGGGGTTTTATTTTTTTATGATTACAGACTGGGTGATGGAGCTGGGCAAATAATTGATGTGTTGGTTCAAAGGTCAAGCCAGAAAAATTATGTGGTTAGTTTCAAATGGAAGGTGATTGTTTTTCACCAAAATGAAAAACAAAAACAGTGTCCCGGTCGAATTAAATGTTTTGAATTTGGATTCCAAACATTTCCAAAATGACATTTTGACATTTCCAAATTTTTGTTTTCTGTTGATTTTGGCCTAAAGTATTTGACAAATTCAACCCAAATTGGCACACAGTTCTAGTGCTGCCAAAAGTGTATTTTCTATTTGCCAATTGGAATTTTTTCAATTTTTTGCAGGGCTCCTTTTCTTGATCACTAGATTATTCTTGCAAGCCAAGGCCAACACACAAAAGGGACAAATAGGTTCTTGGCTGTATCTGAATTACTCTGCCAATTCACTACCTATTTCATCACCAACCCTGTCCCATCCCAAAGCAACCACATCAGAATAGGAAGAAACTCCCAAAATTAGAGTGCTAGAATAGCTTGGAAAAAAACTTTGATTTTCTCAGAGCCCCAAAACTCACATTCACTCCTGTTCCCTTGATCAGTCGCTATAAGCTGGAGGCTCACGTGTGTCCAGTTCACCTGAAAAGATGACGTTTTCACACACACTTGGCACTGTATATCAGCTGGGATGAGCCTTCCATTTCTATTAGTAAGCAGTTTCACAGGAGCAGTCAATACTTAGGTTTGCATTACAGCTTCGTCTCTTAGCCTCTGGTTCCTGCAACCCTCTGTGCCAGAAAGGGCTGGAAAATGTTGTGCAAGCAGGAGAGATGATCATCTCATATGGCCTATCAGGGTGCCCTCTGGCGAGCTGAGATGTGCATTGATGAGATCTCAAGGGAGCCTCATCTAGTCCTTCTCATCTAGAGTGATGGTGGCAGCAAGGTATGGTGGCCTTGAACCTGGTAAGATGGGAGATATTTGGAAGACCTCTGAGCCCTCCCAGACACACACAAGATAAAGTGTGATACACATAAAGTGTGATGTAGCCAGAAAATAACACAAGCCTGGGACACAGAAGAGATGCTAGGCTTATTACCATGTGACACCACAGCCCAAAGTTGATTTCCCAAGCCTCCTGCTTCCATTTGACCCTAACCGTGGCAATGTGCCCCAAGGAAACTCCTGCTTAATGGACTGTTACTTTAATTAGCATGAATACTTTACTGTCCCACTTCCACTGTTTAGCTAATTCTGTTCTCAATTGTCCCCAGAAGTTTCCCTCCTCTGGTAGGTTTCAGGAGAAACATTTGCTTTGCCATGGACATTTTTTCAGCCCAGGGATTCTGCAGGGAGCTATCTGAGTGAATCCATCAGTCCTCTTGCATCAGCGGGGGATTTCACAGCTAGAAACCAAAAGCAAGGGGAGAGCGTGCTGGAAAGAAGCAGTTTGTTATTATGCAAACATAGCAGCAGGTTGAAGGAGCGCCTGTACCTTGGCCATGTTTGGGCAACCCAGGCTAATGTGAAAGGCGAACTGCACTAGCCCCACAGCGGGGCCATGGTCTCCTTTCTCAGCCCAAGAATTAGCACCAAGCTTATCTGGTGCTTTTCAGCTGCAGATTTTAAAGTGTTTTACCAAAGGGGTCAGTAGCATTATCCCCCATTTAATAGATGGGAAAACTGAGGCATAAGAAAGGACTTGCTTAAGGACAGACAAACTGGGAATGGACCTAACATCTCCTGAATCCCAGTTTAGTGCTCAGTCCTGTGGCTGCACAGCGAGAGGCTTCCTCTGAGAGCAGGGCCCGGTGTCCTAGGTACTGAGCACACACAGTAAGGACAGGTCTTACCCAAAGGTCTCTCAGTCTAATAGAGAAAGGCACAGTTATTATCCCCATTTGCAGAGGGGAGACTGAGGCACAGAGAGATTAAAAAACTCAGCCAAGGATCTAGTGGCAGAGCCAGGACTGGAACCCAAACTGGCCTAGACTGGTGCTTTAACCACAAGAACATCCTGCCCTCAAGCCAGGGGGGCCTTCATGCCTCATTCTCAAAAAGAGGTGCAAACAGGCCCCAGGAGCCAGCAAGGCCCATATGAATGGTGACCATATTTTCTGAACCAAAATTAGGGACTCATTAGCCACGCCCCTAGCCCCAGTTAGCCACATCCCCTGCCACAAGAAGTCCCACCCCTGGTGGTAGTACTCTCAGGGTCAAGATGGACACATGACCAGAAGTAAAGGGTGTCGTGTGACCCCTCTAAGAACTCTACCCACCATCTTCCTATCGATAGGGATGAGTTTGGACCCCGCAGACCATTCCCATGCAACTATCCTGCAATTGCATTAACCTAATTTGCATTGCATTAACTCAGGGGGCGAGGAAGTGTTCCCTTTAAGATTTTCCTCCCATGGACAGAGGGTATGTCTACACTACAGCGCTAATTCGAACTAACTTAGTTTGAATTAGTTAATTCAAACTAAGCTAATTCGAACTAACGCATCTAGAACTAAAAACTAGTTCGAATTAGCGTTTTGCTAATTCGAACTAGCACGTCCACATTAAGTGGACCCTGAAGCGGGGTTAAGGATGGCCGGAAGCAGTGCCGGCTGGGCATCAGAGGAGGACTTAGAGCGTGGAGAGGCTAGCCGAGGGCTGTGCTTAAAGGGTCCCGACCCCCACCCCGGACAGACAGTTCTCAGGGGTGCCCTGCTTGCAAAGCAGTCTTGGCTTGGATTGCCCAGACTACCCACACTGGGCACATCACACCACTCAGCCATCAGCCCGGCTGCACTTGCCTCAGGCTGCCATCTGGGGAGAGGGGACAATTGGGGGGCTGCAGGAGAGCTTCCACCCCCAGAAGCCCGCAGAGCCAGCCCAGTCCTCGCCATCGGGGGCTCGTGACTCATTCCTCCCTCACCTCCTTCCGCTTACCCTTCCCTAGCCCCTCTTCTTGATGTACAAAATAAAGATAACGTGTCTTCCAAAATGGAATCTGTCTTTATTGAACAAAACTGGGGGAGACTGGGAAAAGAAGGTGGGAGAGGGGAAGA